TGGTCAATGTTTTGTCCAAATGAGGCGCCAGGTTTGGCTGATTGCTGGGGTGAGGAATTTGAGAAGCTATACACTAGATATGAACAACTGGTAAATATGATTTAGTTTCCTTGGAGTCAACTTTTGCAAGTATATAGGTGATTTTGGTCGGCTATTTTATTAATTGTGCTTTTGTTTTGTTTTGTTTTTGTTTTTGTTTTTTTGTTTTTGTTTTTTTTTTTTTGTAGGGAAAAGCCAAGAAGGTTGTTAAAGCACAGAATCTTTGGTTTGAAATCTTGAAATCTCAGATCGAGACTGGAACCCCTTACATGCTATTTAAGGTGTTTAAACCACCATGGCTTGCTGACAGTTTTGATGTTTGTTTGCTGTGTAACTTATTTTATTTCCCTTTCTCCATTCTCCAGGATACTTGTAACCGAAAAAGTAACCAGCAGAATCTTGGGACCATTAAGGCCTCTAATTTATGTACAGAGATAATTGAATATTCAAGCCCAACAGAGACGGCTGTGTGTAATCTTTCTTCAATTGCTCTACCTCGCTTTGTCAGAGAGAAGGTGAACTATCCCAAGCATGTTTTATGCAGCATAACACTCCCTTCTATTCTTTTCCTCCATTTCCTAATTTCATACCATTTTTAAACTGCAGGGTGTTCCAATGGAGTCTCACCCATCTAAACTTGTTGGTAGCAGAGGTTCCAAAAATAGATACTTTGATTTTGACAAATTAGCTGAGGTTTGAATTCTTATTCAGGACTATGTTTTGTTTTACTAATTATTTTGAAGATGTGTGCACTCTTTAATTTTTAATCAATTAACTTGTTTATTTATTCTTTGTCTAACCAGATAACTACTCTAGTTACAACAAATCTGAACAAGATAATTGATGTCAATTACTATCCTGTTGAGACTGCCAAAAGATCAAATCTAAGACACAGACCTATTGGTATTGGGGTTCAAGGTCTTGCGGATACTTTCATTCTCCTGGGCATGCCGTTTGATTCACATGAGGTAATTGTCTTACAGCTCTACCTTCTTCTCTTAGCCTCTTCCATTCAACTAAAGTAGTCCACATGGTCAATGAATTGCAGGCTCAACAATTGAACAAGGATATATTTGAAGCCATATACTACCATGCTCTTAAAGCTTCTTGTGAGATTGCTGCAGTAGAAGGCCCCTATGAAACTTATGCTGGCAGTCCTGTCAGCAAGGTATGTAATATGGAAAAACTTGGCTCTGGTCTTCTGGATTTTAATCTAACAAATCCTATTCTGATTTGCACGTTTACTTATGTGACCAATATGTTTTTTAGGGAATCCTTCAACCTGACATGTGGGGGGTAACACCTTCAAATCGATGGGATTGGAATGCTCTCAGGGATCAGATTGCGAAAAATGGGGTAAGAAATTCACTTCTTGTGGCCCCAATGCCAACTGCTTCTACCAGCCAGATTCTTGGAAACAACGAGTGCTTTGAGCCGTACACTTCGAACATCTACAGCCGCAGAGTTCTAAGGTCTGGTTTACAGTTTGAACTTCTAGAGCCTTTCATAACAATAATGTATATTCTCTACTTGTCTTTTAAAATCTCTCCTTCCATTCTTTCAGTGGTGAATTTGTTGTTGTGAACAAGCATCTCCTGCACGATTTGACAGAGATGGGCATGTGGTCTCCTGCTTTGAAGAACAAGATCATCTATGAGAATGGTTCTGTTCAGACGATTCAAGAAATCCCTGATGATCTAAGAGCTATTTACAAGTATGGCTAGTTTTCCCTGCATTTTCCTTCCCCTGCCCTTAATCTTGATTTATCCTTCTGATTTGTTCTTGATTTAACTCAGGACTGTTTGGGAGATCAAGCAAAAGACTTTGGTCGACATGGCTGTTGATCGAGGCTGTTACATTGATCAGAGTCAGAGCCTCAATATCCACATGGACCAACCAAATTTCGGAAAACTTACTTCCTTGCACTTCTATGCGTGGTCAAAGGTATTTCATAGGACCCATTTACATGTGATGTTCAAGAGATTTCCCTTCTCATACTTAGATTGATTTTGATTACTTTTTTTTTTTGTTATACGAAGGGTCTAAAAACAGGAATGTATTATCTTCGATCACGAGCTGCAGCCGATGCCATCAAATTTACAGTTGATACTTCAATGCTAAAGGTAGTGTATAGTTAAATTCTTTACTTCACACAGTGTCTTAGTTTATAGATTCATCACATAATCAAATGGCTTCGTTGGTTTATGTAGGAAAAGGCCAATGATGAAGATGATAGTACGAAAATGGCACAAATGGTATGTTCTTTAACAAATCGTGAGGAGTGCTTGGCCTGTGGAAGTTAAGATACGACGACTTTAGAAATTGGAGAGGTGCTCTCTCTACATTTCTCCCCTTGGGAAAAAAACACTTGCTCCACTGGGCTGATTGAATTTCTTTATACTCTAGTCAAATATTTATCTAACTGTATATAATGTAAAATTTCTGTACAGTTTTTTTTTTCTTTCTTTTTTTGAATTTTTCCTCGTGAGTGTGGGAGGGGGATTTACTTGTTTTGTTGATGCTAAGATACTCTCGTATTTTGTTTTGAATCCTTCTATCCTATTATGTTAGTGTTAACTCATTATCACTATTTTGGATTGGAATCATTATTTTCTTTTTATACTATTTTGGATTGGAATCATTATTTTCTTTTTACTCAATGTATTAAGTTCTCAATAGATTTAAACTTATTGTTATTAACATTTTTTTAAGATTAAACGTAGTGTTCTAAAAATATTTAAATTTTATCCATTGCTTATTATTTTTTTAGTAGCACAAAGGTAAGGTGGGTGGATTTAAATTACAATCTTAAAATAAGTACACATTTTTAATGTTGAGCCACAAACTTATATAATTGGCTCATCTAAATGAATTTTGGATTATCTTGCATACGATATAATATATTGACATTTGTATGTTTATTGATGTATTTGAAATATCAATATGTTACAACTTCGATATAAGTCAACTAATAAAAGAATATTATTGATTAAAATGTTGGAAGTACAAATACATCCTCGCATATTGTTGACTAATTTTTATATTTGAATAAAGGCAATGATGGATCCACAACTTCTATTCATGTGGCTTTGTACATAAGTTACTATACAGTTAATCTTTACTTTTTTTTTAATATAATATGTTGGAGAGTAGATTCGAACTCACAACATCTTAATTGAAGATATATGTCAATTATTGAATTATGTTCGTTTTGACACAATTAATCTTCACTTTGTTGACCTATTTAGACTCAAAATTCAAAATAAAAACTATATATATAAAAACAAACTGACTCTTAAAAATTTAATAATATTAACTATACATAATGACAATATATAAATGGAAAAGAACATTAAGCTATAGCTAGGGCTTGCTTTAGATTGCCGATTAGTTTGTGCAATAAAATTAACTCAATCTATGCAAAGTTTTGGTGAAGCTGGAAACAACTGTGTGTTAGCAAATGATAAGGGGGAAAAAGTCTTGGAGATCTTCGTCCTTTAAACTGGCAATGTTTGCAAAGTATGCCAGTTCCTCCAGAGCGCGGACCGCCGATTCCTTGAGTGCCGAGGTATAACATTCGCAGGATGTTTTCTACTCCCCTCGAATCATGTCGACCCCATTGATTGTGGAATATTTCCTGACTTGGTGCAGAGTTGAAGGAATGATCCGAAGTGAGTGGATAATAGATTTGGAGGATGGTTGGGAGGCGTTGTTTGCCCCAACTACGCAGGTATTCGAGGCTTTAGTCAAGAGTTTTAACACTCACTATGGTTTGTTGGATGTCTTTAATTCCATAGGTAATGAGGTTTTAGTGCATCCATTAGACGAGCAAGTAGAGGAGGCGCGTAGGCTTATTTGTAGACCACACAATACATGGACTGTCTCAATCACAGGGAAGATTTCCTTAAAGCCCCTTGACATCAATGAGCAAGCGACGGGTTGGACGTATGTGGTGAAGAACCAGTTGATCCCCACTTCTCATGACTCCTCTATTAAGCGCAATAGGGCGATGATAGTGTACATCCTCATAAAAGGTATTGAGTTCAACTTTGAGGAGCTCATAAGGAACGAGATTCGAAGTTGCTCGGAGTGGTAGGTCCATTTGTTTTTCCTGGACTAATAACTAAGCTATGCTTGCATGCGGGAGTAGAAGTCAATGATGCAAAGTAAAGTTGGCGAATTCTCATTAATCCTAATAGCCTATTAACTAAAATCCTTAGAGGAAGATATTTTCAATGTGGCAATTTTATGAAAGCAAAGCTAGGATGAAATCTATCTTTTGTGTGGAGAAGCATTTTGCGGGGAATGAGCTCTTTGATAAAGGATGTTGTTGGCGAGTTGGATTGGAAATGGGTATAATATCACAATTGCGGCAATAAATCTTTGAAAAACTTTTTTTTAGTATAACATATTGGATGAGAGATCTAACTCACCACCAATGAGATATATACCAATTAAAGTTGAACTATATTAGTTGAAAAACTTATTTTATATAAGGTAAAAAGTAAATATTTCTTTATTTAATTTAATTGACTACTACTTTTAAACCTTTGTTTTATACTTAAATTATATAAATTTGAGTAGATAGTATAAAATTTGCTACGAGAGTTTTTTCTTCTTATCTAATATTTTATATTAGATTTGAATTATATTATTCTAATAAAATTTCACACTTTATACCACGTTTAAAAATACATATTTATTTTATACTATTACGTAAATATATTTTTTTAATAAATATGATTAATTCGATGATCACTTGGAAAATTTTCGTTTGCACGTTTTTTATTGCTAACATGATTATAGTTGAGGAAATAAAAAAAAAGAATATATTTTTTAATAAGTTGAGACTAAACAAACAGATATGATTTGACTTTTCGAAGTTCTTAAAAAAAATGTCAAGCTATAGACAACGTTTTGCATACTTACCACGCTTTTTCGCCAATATATACACATATATGAAAAAAAAAAAAAAAAGAAAAGGCGTCCGGATCGATAGCACCTGGTTCGATCAGCGATAAGAGAGGACGGATTCTGAGATTGCAGCGAATTCCTTCACATTGGTTCTTCTAATTCTTCTTATTCTCTCCGAAAATCTAGCTTCCAATCACCTTGCATTTCTCTTTTATTATTCAGCGTTTTCATTTTTTCAAGCCGCTCCTCCTGGCTCCGCGAGATGAGGTGCCGTTTTTTTCGCCGTCTATGGGTGTTTCTACTGATATTATCAAAATTTCGGAGCTTGACGGGCGAATCAAGAACATTCCAGAATTCGGAATTATCCCAATTGGGTTCCCACCAGGATAATTCTGAAGGATTAGCTCAAATTGGTGGCAAATCCCTTCTTCCCCTTCCTCTGTGAGTTGCTTTCCTCCATTTCCTAGTCTGCAAGCTTGGGGTTTTGCGTAATTACACTATTTGAAATTTTCTCTTTCCTGGGTGTTGCAGAAAAAGTAAGGACAATACTGCTCTTATTGCTGCTTCGGGTGGGGAATTTTATTTGATAGATAGTAGCTCTATGAAGATAATTTGGTCATTTACTTCCGGTACGCCAATCTACTCCTCATATCAGGCTCCTATCAAACATGGTTACAAAAAGGAAAATGCTTCCGGTTCAAGCAGTAGGCCCTTTTTTTTTGATTTTGGAGATGACTGGGAGTTATACATGCACACAGAGCATGGTCGAACGGTATGATTTAGTGAATTAATAACATCCACCAGATGCTTTGAAGAAAAAGAAAAAGTTTTTTGGTTCCATAACTCTTTTCTTTTTGTTTTTTGATCTTGCTGTCCTAGTTGTGAAAATTTCCCCATATATTAGTTTCAACTTTGATTTTTCTTGGGTCACTTAACACTGCAGAAACTACCCCGCACCATTGATGAGGTTGTTAGAAGTACACCATACATATTCGAGGATGGTGCAGTGATGACTGGTTCTAAGAAAACTACTGTGTTTGAGATTGACCCTGTTACTGGAAAGTCGATTCGTAACCATTCATCTGATTTCTCATCATCTGGGATAAGCAATGAAGAACATGGTGTTTTAAATGGTTATAATTCCAAGAATAATATGGACAATAAGGATCTGATACAACCTGGTTTGATGAACCCTATTCAGCAACGGCTGTACATTACAAGAACAGATTATTCCCTGAAATCATCTTTCCCGGGTTCAGAAGAAGTTTCCTGGAGTTTGAGTTTTGCTGAAATTGGAGCTACTTTATTCTTTCCAGACGTCGAGAATCCAACAAAGAGTGCTCCTTGGAATCTTCAAAATAATGGTAATTCTGAGGCCGACTTTGATTTTGCTGCGCCATTGTCTTGCCAATCAGAAATACTAGTCTTTCGTGAACGGAACCATGTTTTGACAGAATCGTCTGGGCATAGAATACTTTCTGAGGCTCATAATAATATGCTTTCGGTGCCTGCTTCAAGTTTAATGCTTCCTATACAGCCAAATGTTAAACATTCAAATATTCGTCCTGAAAGATTGATGCTTCCTGGACCTGCAGCAAACATTATAGGAACTAATGCAAGTAATCACCTAAACAACGATAGTAAGGCATTAGTGCCTCTGATGGAGATTAATGATTCAAGGATAGTTCAGGGACATAAAAAAGGAAATCTTAATGTTGACCTCATAGGCATGGTTTTTAATGGACCAGTAGGATTGTCTATTTTAATTTTTGTAACCATGTTTTTGGGATTGATTAACCATTGTAGAGCACTGGTTGTAAAGGGAAAACAATTTTTTCTGAAGGAGAAGACGGCTAGTACTGTTAATTCAAAAATTGTCTCTTCCAAAAAAAAGAAAGCTCGGAAGTCAGGAAGAAATGGAAATTTAGAGAAAAAGGATGCATCTGCTTCATCAGAAAATGAAGATATACTACAAAGCGAGGGTGATTTTAAATGGTTTCACCACAATAATCTTACTGATTATGGCCGTTGGATTGGTAAATTATTTGTAACCAATACGGAGATAGCTAAGGGTAGCAATGGCACTATTGTTCTTGAGGGGGTCTATGAAGGTCGATTAGTTGCTGTGAAACGTCTTGTTAAAACTCACCACGATGTTGCCTTTAAAGAGGTTCAAAATCTAATTGCTTCCGATCGTCACCAAAATATTGTTCGATGGTACGGGGTGGAGTATGATCAAGATTTTGTGTATCTTTCACTGGAACGGTGTACCTGCAGCCTAGATGATTTGATTCAGATTTACTCTGATTCATCCCTTGACTCTTTGTTTCGCTTGGATGAAGATACAGGACCTATGGTTGATTATAAACTGCATTTGGAATCTGTCAAGAATGTCATGTCAGATCTGAATTTGTGGAAAAAAAATAGCCGTCCGTCGCCACTTCTTTTAAAACTCATGAGGTTTATACATGCTCAATATCCTTATTACATTAAAATTGACTCCCATTCATATAAGTCCCAGATTTCCATATTTGATAGATCTATCTAAGAGCATTCATTCATCTTTACTTTTTCATAATTTCATAATGAAGACTTGAGAAAAATTAAGAATCATTTTGTGGTTCTTTCGCATGTATATAAAGATATATATTCAAGCACAGACTGGATCCCTTGACCTTCACCTATCTTACTACAAATATAGCTATTTAACAATAATAGAAGCGTTCTTCCTTTATTCGGATAAGTTTCATGTCAGCTTTTCTTATTTTGAAGTTGTATAACGCAGGGATATGGTTGCTGGGCTAGAGCATTTGCATGAATTAGGGATAATTCACAGGGACTTAAAGCCACAAAATGTGTTGATAAGTAAGCAAAAGTCTATGTGCGCAAAGCTCTCTGATATGGGTATTAGCAAGCGCCTTCTGAAAGATATGTCTTCCTTGGGACATCATGCTACTGGTAAATATTCTTGAATTACTATAAACTTACAGTAATGATTTATATACACATTATATTTATTATATCTTATAAGGTATAAGTCTTTACCAATAGAATCTTAATTCTCTATAGTTTAAAACTTTAGCAATGAATATGTAATGAAAACTCGAGAACCTTGATGTAGGTTGTGGGAGTTCTGGTTGGCAAGCCCCTGAACAACTTCTTCATGGACGACAAACACGTGCAGTTGATTTATTTAGCTTAGGCTGTGTTCTTTTTTTCTGCCTCACTGGTGGTAGACATCCATTTGGAGATCGTTTTGAGCGTGATGCCAATATCGTGAAGAACCAAATGGATCTGTTCTTGGTGGAGTGCATCCCAGAAGCTGTAGATCTTATTTCTCGATTGTTGAACCCTAATTCTGATTTGAGGTAAGAAATGTCGGTTCAAGAACTCTAAAAAAAATCCTTAAACATTAGTTTTCATTCACATATACCAAAACCAAACAAAATAAATGTTTTTGTAGTTCATCTATACATTTTTTGACTGAATATGTGTTACTTTTGTGTAGCTTTCTGAAAATAAGAATTATTTATACATATAATATTAATAAATATTTTTTTTTGATTGTTTTATATTCACGGTTGTCAGGCCAAAAGCATCAGAGGTATTGCAACATCCTCTGTTTTGGAGTTCTGAGACCCGGCTTTCTTTTCTTCGTGATACTAGTGATAGAGTGGAATTGGAAGATAGAGAGACTTACTCTGAACTCTTGGAAGCATTAGAGAGTACTGCACCATTAGCTTTAGGTGCTAAATGGGATGAAAAGTTGGATCCAGCTTTCATCACAAATATTGGTCAGTATAGACGTTACAAGTACGATAGTGTTCGGGACCTGTTGCGAGTCATGCGCAACAAGTTGAATCATTACAGAGAACTCCCCAGAGAAATTCAGGTTTCCTTCTATCTATATGCTGCTCCTTTCCTCCTTTAATTTTTCCTTTTTTGTATGTGTTTGTGAGAGAGATTGGGTCGTGAATAGTTGGTAAAACTATACAGCTGTTTTGGCTTAAATATTTTCCAAAGCATAGTTTCAGCTTTAATTATTGCATATCTTGAATCCGAATTTAACTATCTTGTTTCAACTTTCCACTTGAAGGCTCGACACTCGTCCAGAACTTGAAAATAAATATTCAATAGCTATAACTATCTTGGAAGACAAATATAATCATCTTATAGAGAAGTATATGGTTGTCATAATTCATAAATTGTATGGTTGTCTCTACTATCTTTAAAGAAAAACCCAGTTACCATGTTCTTCCTACCTCTCTCGACCCGCCTCACCAACCTTGCATTTCTTGCCAATGGAACCACCTCTCCCTCCCTAGCTGGTGATCATCCCTTTGCCTTCTTCCTTGCCCCCACACCACACCACCTTGACGACCCTCTTGGAATGTAAATGCGATATTGAACAGAGATACTTAAACTGTGGCTTTTGCTGGAGGCCACAACAGACTCAGACTTACAGAGGGAAAACATCTCTTCTACGAAATTCTCCCAGAGCTTTCTAGTCTGGATCCTTGATACAGTAAACGAACTTTGCTCATCACCCCCCTCAACCATCAATTTCTTCATTAAAACCAGAACAGTTTGTGGTTTCTTTGGGCTCCAAAAACTAATGGCAAGCCCGTCTTCTTTATGGAAATGAAACATTTTCAGCAATGGAAAGAAGAGGAACCTTATTATCCCTGCTGGAAAGGCTACGCTAACCTTATTCAAGCCTCTATAGGCTCCTGGTTAGAAATGTTTACCATAATAAGAGGAGGATGAAATGGGCCGAGAGATGAGTAAATATGCGAGTGTCTGAGTCTGTTATGAGGAGAGCCCACCTAGTTAATTTGCTATGTGTGAAGTGCAGGCAGTAGGGGGTAGAAGTATATATGCTAGTGAGTGACGTCGGGGGTATATTTTGACTTGTTTGGTTGCTTGGTTTCGGGAGAGATGGGAGCTCTCAAATACTCTCTTGGCTCATATCACTTTGACTACGAATTAATAGATTGGGTTCTATCACCGTCCTTCTCTTCCAACAGATCATCTAATATCCCCAAATCCAAGTTTGGCTGTGAAAATGAGGAAAGCTACTTATTAATTGGAGAGAACTATTGTAACAAGGCAAAAGTTCCATGGCGATTGTAGTAAGATCATAAATGATGCTATTGGCGAACCTACCAATATACTTAGAAAGAATGTATTAGCGCTATTTATATTAATTGATTGAAGAAATCCGAAATATCTTTTGTTCTTTCTCTGCAAAGATTTGGTGATGGTTCTTTGTCAATTTGATTGTGTATTTCAGGAGCTTGTAGGATCCGTTCCCGAGGGATTTGACAGCTACTTTGCTAGTCGGTTTCCAAGGCTGTTGACTGAAGTATACAAAGTAATAAGCCAGTACTGTAAGGAAGAGGAAAGTTTTCAAAAATACTTCAAAGGCCACGTTGAGTAGACTGGGACACTGCTTATAAATGTCACCAATTATTTCGTTGACTTATTTAGAACACAATGTTTATGTATAGAAAAGTGTAAATATTGTTGTAGTAAAACATAGATTTGTAACTGTATCATTATGTCCCAAAGATCTTCCGTGTATGGTTTTTGGTCCTCAAAACTTCATTTTCTCTTTGTACTGAATAAGAACAATGAATCTAATGAAAATGAACGATACTTTGTAAAGGACAATACTTGCCTACACACTCGGTAGTATGAATTCCTATTTTCTACAGGCTTTGTAAAATATGTCTTATTAGAAAATCATGAAGCTTTTATTGACTGCAAATGTTGGTCTTTTGTAAATACTGCAGACCAATACATGTTTTCTTCAGGAAGCACACATTGTCAATAGCAGCCATACAACAATGCTAAAGTGGTAAAGACAACCAAAGTTTGGAACTTTTAAAATTGTAGTTTCAATTGATCTAATTTAATCTATGGGTGGATCATTGGTTCAAAGGATTAGTATTTCAAATCTAAGTATTAATAATTCCCATGTATTTTCTGATCTCAAATGCTGCTAAATTGCAAGTGAGCGAACTTCCATCCCTTTTCAACTAATTTAGGACAGCGTAGAAGTATTCTAGAAATTGTCAAAAATTGTATTGCGAGAAATTGA